AGCAATATGTATATATACAACGCACACATACACACACACCAGAGAAAAAACTGTACAAAGACACACACACAATAGACAAAAAAAAATCAACCACAAAAAGTGCACGTAAATCCTCCAAGTATTTTAATTAATGTTGTTAATTGTGTTGATTCATCAACAGTTGTATCACTTATATAAAAATTACATAATGAACAACGTTTTGCACGATCTTGAACAAATATTGGTAAAAATGTTTTATTACAACGTTGAAAATCATGACCATTTGAGCATGTTACATCAAAAAATGTTCGAATATGTAATGTTTGTCCACATAATGGACAATGAAGATATTTTTGATCACATGTTGATAAATATTGACTATTTATTTGTGCTGGTGGTGTTGGTCCATTTGATAATGTTATTGGTGTTGTTGTCATATTTGGATTGGCCATAGCAAGTAATGAACCAAATTGTGCTGTTAAATTATTTCCTGTTATATTTGTATTTGTATTTCCAGTATTATTTGTTGCATTAGCTGATGCTTGTAATTGTTGTGTTGAATATTGTAATAATTGTTCGCACCAATAAAGTATAGATTTTTCAATTGGTGTTAATTGTATTTGTTGTGGTTCTGTTTGTTGTTTTGTTTGAACATAATCATATAATTTTTTAATTAAATCAATTGATATCATTTGTGCAAAAACATCAGCTAAAAATAACATATACGGTGCTTGTCTTAAACCATTACCAAGACCACTGTTATGATATGATAATAAAAGACGACATAATGAATGAACTTTTTTTAATAGACTAACACTCGCTTGATCAGCACAATCAGCAACAGACATAATTAAATCAGTTAATGCATTTGATTTATCCGAATAAAGTAAAACACGTAATGCAGCTAAAACATCGTTTAAACGAAATGATGGTAATGGATTTGAAAGAAAAAATGTTATTGTTGATGATACATCTTTTAATGAATAAACAGATAATGTTAATATAGCTTCATTTCGTTTCATTGTTAATACAGTACAATGTGTTGGTGTTATACCAGCTGCTTGACAATCGCTACCTGTTTAGCAAAAAAAGAAAAAGAAATATGTTTGATCTTCATAGATGACAGTAGGAAGTTGTGAGTCCATAAAAATGTGGACGTTGTCCGAACTTTTTTCCAACAATATCTGAGATTCTTTGCATACACAAGCAAATGAAGGATCAAAGTTTTAGTTATGTATCAAGTATTTTTTCTTGTTCACTTTCGAAACACTCGACGCTTAATGGACTAAAAGTTTTCGCGTAGTTGAAAAGAGCATAATGTTAACAAGAAAAAGAAATTGAACACTTAAAATTGTTAAATAAAATTTGTCAAACTAACAGTAACACCAAAATCTTCAGCTGTATGGAATAGCTTTAGTTGTATTTAGATAAATAAGATTAAGTAACGAGAGAGTTGTGGGTCAAAGCTTTTGTACAGCCGGACTTGCCAACATTCACAATTCTCTATATGATAGACATAAAAAAAAGAAGTTCTACAGTCTAACATGTAAGCGAAAGTTAGTTTTTCGAAAACACAAACATGTCGAAAAATTCAAAATAAAATATTATGTGACAAAGAGATTGATAATAGTTGAGTCATATAAATTTTCTTTTTATTTAGAATATACAAGATCATCCGATCAAAATGATAAAGACTGATTCCTTAACAGTTTATTAATTTTTTTTCTTATATATATATATATATATTAAATCGTTACCTGCTGGTAATAATTGACAAAATTGTTCAAATCTAGTTGTATGTTGTTGATGATGATGATGATGTGGATCATTAAATGTTTGTGTCACTTGTTTATGTATAAAACCATCGCGACATATTAAATATAAATCTTGCGTATCAGATAAAAAATGTGTTAATACACTTGAATTTAAAGCATATTCATTAACTGTTTTTATTGTAAATTGTGAACATGATGTATTATAACCAGTTGATGCTATATTTAATGTTGCTATAACAATTGAATCCATTTGAGCAAAAAATAATCGATGTTCATTATGTTGTTGATATAAAGCAATATGATGTATACGTGCACCATTTGAAACAAGATGTGGAGATTCTTGTTTTGTATATGCAAGTAATGGAGCTAATTCATTACCAGTTAATGATATTGATATAAGTGATACATGTCCATGTGATGAACCAAGTGCTAATATACCGGCTGTATCGGATAGTGAAAGCCATGCCATGGCTGATATGGAATTATGTGGTGAACGATATGGTGAATCAGCTTTAGAATTATGTAAACCATTGGATATAGTTGGCGACTGACCAGGTTTTTTTGTTCCATTAGTCGATGATATTGATGGTTCAGTAGCATTTGGTTCAAGTAAAGCAGCATAAGTTAATGTGAGATTGTTTGTTTGTTGCTGTTCGGATAATTGCCATATAGCTACATGACCTGATTCAAGTCCACAAAACAGAAGGACAAAACGAGATGGTGAATCACGTCGAAGAACATTTGACCAACCCAAACAAGTTGGAACTGAAATAAATAAAATAAAATTCTTTTCTTTGTTTTTTTCTTTTTTTTTATTAGGATTTCTATTTCTTCTTTTTCTTTCCCCCCCGTTCGATGTCATGTTCTCAATGATAGCGTGTGTAAGAAAAGAATAGTTCTTTCTGTTTTTTTTTTTCTTTCTCGGACACGAAAAAAAGAGACAATAATTATTTTCTTCCTTTTTTTTTCTCCTGCATATTAGAAGAAGAAAAAAAAAGACAGCTGTCTATTTCTTTTCGAAATTCTTTTTCTAATGGAAAAAAAAAGACAGAAAAAGAAAAGAATATTTTTACTTTAGAGGAAAAAACAACGTGGAATAGAAAAAGGAAAATTAAGCCTTTTCTTTTATTCAATCTCTCGTTTTAAATACTCATTTATTTAAAGATTCAATGAAAGGATTTTTCTTCTTACCAAGTAAAGCTTCTTCATCTCGTGACAATCCTCCACTAGCTGATGTTGTTCCATTACTTGTTGGAGTTTTTCGAGTATTAGTTGGATTGGCACCGGTGCCACCATTTCGTTCATCTAATTGTGATCTCCATCGTTTTGATACATTAAATAGAACAACTGGGGATTCTTGATTCGCATCACAGATGACAAGTTGACCAGTTGATGATGCAACAGCTAATAAACGAGCACCGTCTGGTCGTAATGAATCGGGACAAAAAAGTGCAAGTGGAGTATATGTATAATATCGCAAATCGTCTTGTTCAAGATGTTGATCAAGTTGAAACCAGGAAACAGTAAATAATTGAACTTTACGTGATGAATGACCACTAAATGTTAATAATGTAAAACCAGTTGATGATGCTATTGCAAAACGAGACCAATCGGAACATGAAATAGCGCCATCTTTGAGTGAGTCCGACGTTTGAAAGTGCTGCTCTTCAAGCAGCGAACAATCAAAGCCGCTCATTATATTTTATTTAGTTGGCCGCAACTAAAAATACAAACATATGGGAAGAAAAAAAAACCTTTTTTTTTTTTCTTTTGACAAATTATATAAATGTAAAAAGAAAACAACAAAAGAATTATTAGTAGAAAAGAGTAGATGATTAATAAAAATACCTGTTGATGATAATGATCAAGTCTAGAAATTTTGAAAATATTATTTCAAAGCAAATAGACAGAAAAAAAACTCGAAAATCTTTTCTTCTTTTTTTTTTTTTCTCTTGTCTCCGTTCGGTTGTTGAAGGAATAGATAGATCAGAACGCAAAGGAAAGAATGAGCAACAGCAGGGGGCGGCAGAGAGAAGGAGAGAGACAATGGCGCTATGGGAAGAAAAAAAGATGAAGGCGACGGACGCTACAGAACAAATCTTCGCCATTGTTTATGCATTCAAAACTCGATCATGTACAAAACATGAAGACGCAAAAATGAGTTTCATTCATTTTTCATTATCATTTTTTTTCCAAATAAAATGAATTCTTGAGTTATATATAATATAATGTAAGAAAAATATAGATGTCACTATTATACTAGTGCACAAAATGAATTCAAGAATCCAGCATTACTCCGTCGCGTACAGTGCTTTATATCAATATAGCAGTAAAATTGATCCTCTCTCTTTTCAATCTAATCTATCATTTACTTTAGAGAATGTATTGCACTGTGTCTATTGATAGTAAGTACTATTTATTAATAGTTATGGACTGTTGAATTCGATCTCACATTTGAATATATATGAACATTTGTTATTATAAACATACCCTTTCAATTAATTTATCGAACGTTATGTCAATAAATTTGGCATAAGCGTTTGAAGAATAAGGAACTGTAATTTTCACTTCGTCTGTTGCGTAAACTTGATGTTATTTACAAAACCAACTGATCCAATGGTTTTCCCTTTTTTTTTCAAGGATACGACACCGAGTCTAAAAGAAGAAGAAAAAGAGTAACCTTGGTATCATTCAACAGATGTCAATAGTGATAGAGTTCCAATTTGTTTCAATTAAAAACATTATCCTTTCTTATAATTCGTAATTTTTTTGTTCATTTATAATTTAAATATCTTTTATTCGCGAAATATAATATGAAAACTTTGAAATAAAGTTAACGATCTTGATAGATGACGCTCAAAAAATATTAAAATTATTTAAAAACAATTAAAAATAATTTTTTTAAAATAATTTAATCTTCAAAATTTATATTATTTCCATAATCATACACATTCTGTCGTTGAACTAACTAAAGTAATGAGACATTATACTGAATCAATGGCGACTGTTATTTTTTTCTTAATGTTAATGTTTGTTCTTAAGCTTTCCTCTTTTTTTTTTGTTCTCGTGGGTTATTACTCAAGAGTTGTCTACGTGGCCAGGTGTGCCACGAGTTCACATTATTCATGATGACAAGGTTTAAAAAGGAACTTTCTATTCATTTTATAATTTAGATTTAAATATCGTCATTTTACTTTTCTGAGTTTACACACAGTCGAATAAACTACACAGAAATTAACAGTCACAATGGGAAATATTTTTGCAAATCTTTTCAAGAATCTCTTCGGCAAAAAAGAGATGCGTATTTTGATGGTCGGTCTTGATGCTGCAGGTAAATTATAATCAAGAGATAAGAAGAAGAATTTATTTGATTTCATTTAGGTAAAACGACAATTTTGTACAAATTGAAATTAGGTGAAATTGTAACCACCATTCCAACCATCGGTAAATACATTTATTGTTGCTTTACTTAAGACTAATACATATATGATTATAGGATTCAATGTTGAAACTGTCGAATATAAAAATATAAGTTTTACAGTATGGGATGTTGGTGGTCAAGTGAGTAATTTTTATTGATAGAACGTAAAACTATTTTGTTTTCATATTTTAGGATAAAATTCGACCATTATGGAGACATTATTTTCAAAATACACAAGGTACAAAGTTCAATAAGTTACTTTCAGAAAAAAAAGAATGAAATTTAACTTTGCTTTAGGTTTGATTTTCGTTGTCGATAGTAATGATCGAGAACGTGTTGGTGAAGCTCGTGATGAACTTCAACGTATGTTAGCAGAAGATGAATTACGAGATGCAGTTCTTTTAATATTTGCCAATAAACAGGTTAGTTTTATATTTAAATCATTTATTAAATTATTTTTTTCGTTTTTTGAAAAGGATTTACCAAATGCTATGAATGCTGCTGAAATAACAGATAAATTAGGTCTTCATTCATTGCGTAATCGTAATTGGTATATACAAGCAACATGTGCGACTAGTGGTGATGGTCTTTATGAAGGTCTTGATTGGCTTTCAAATCAGCTCAAGAATGCCAAATGAACATTGATGACAAATATCAATTTAGAGTGCTTGAAGATTGTCTCTTTTTCTTTTCTTTTTTTTGTCTTTTGCAAATATATTCCAACAAGAAAAATATCATTGATATGTCTGTTTCTCTCTTTCTCATTCGCAAAGAAATTTTTTTCGAAAATATAAATCACATAACTATGGAATGGATATATGTACACGTACATAAGTTTTTACTTTATATTTATTTCATTTTTATTACTCTCTTACTTCAAGGTGTTCTAGTATATGTAAAACAAATCCTATTTATCTAATGATCACTTCAAGTGCCCGTTTTTTTTTTTGTTTCTGTTGTGGAATTTTTTTTTCTTCTCTTTCTATTCAAACTTATTCTTTTTTTTCTTGGCGCGTTTATTGTTCGTTGTTATTTGAAGAATCTATTGGCTTGTATTCTTGTTTTATAAGTGAAAATAAGAGAGAAAATTAAAATAGATTATTGCGTGAACAAGAAAAAAAAAGCCTTTGAAAAATATTTAGATCAATAAAAACACACATAAAAAATTGATGCTTGTTTTTTTTTCTTACTAAGAAAATTAATTTATCGAATGACAAAATTGATTAATCGAATAGATCTTTCATGGGAAAATGTTAGATCTAAACATGGAAGTGCTTGGAGAAAGAACAACAAAAACAAAATAGTATCATATGACCTTCTAACTATAGATAAGATGTATACCTTGGTGAAGTCATTGCTATTAATTCAATAGATAACATTTATGATAACTTTTCTTATTCCTTAGATTATTTATTCTTTTTGAATATGTCAGTTCGAGAACTTTGTCAAGCTTATTGTTCTTTATCGAGTGGCTGTTGGAAACATTCTCTTAGTGATATTATGAATGCACTTAAAACAGAAGATCATCCTGATCATCAAATATTTTCTACTGTTGCATGTACATTAATGATGAACGATAGACCTGGATATTGGCATTGGTTAAACAATACAATCACGAAGCTTATTGACGATCCTAAATCTCGATTAGATCTACTGCCTGATTTACCTGAATATGAGGAGATGAGTAGTAAAGATTTACTTGATAAGTATGAGATTGGTGATGAAAATTATCCACGAAATGAGATTTTAAGAGAACTAAAATATCGATATCCACTCTTAATTCAATTAGATGAAGTCGAGTCAATTATTGATTTAAGAAATAAATTAAAAGATGTTATATAAGATTAATAAGAAACATTTCTTAAAATACTTTTGTTTTTTGTTTTAGATATTTGTTGAACCATGAGTGCTATTATCAATTGCTTTGCTTTAATATTATTTCTAATATTCGAAACTAATGCTTGTAAGAAATAATTTTGTTTATTAAATTATCTCTAATTTATTTGTATTTAAATAGATCGAGGCGATTTTATGACTAGTGTAAGAGATAGTTACAGTCGATATGATCCAGATTCGACACTCAATGGTTTTTTTCCATTTTGGGGTGTTGTTCTTTTGTTACTCTCATGTACATATATTTTCCATCTATTTTGTTTTTCTTATTATTCAATCTTTTGTTAATTTAGTTATATTTCTCTTGGTTGCTGGTCTTGGTCTTGTCGGTTATTTAGTTGGTTGTCGAGCACCACCAGAAAGTCTTCGTCAACAACTTGATCCGGCTACTTTTTATGCTTGAGAATACTTTGCAATGTCCATTTTCAATGTCAGATTTGAGCATATATAGATGTAGATGATTTGTCCTTTTTTTTAATACTAGATAATTGTATCTCATTTTTATTCCAAAATCGATTTTGTCAGATTTTGTTGTGTTTTTCTTAACATCTTTTTATAATAGCAATACAACGCGCCAATAGAATAGTCTATTCATAAACTAAATTTATAATTTTTGTGTTTGCAAAAAAGAAAAACATATGTCTACCATTAAAAACAATAACTTTCAAGAAGACTGTCTATGTCTTGGTGTTATCAATGGTTCGGTGAAAAGTTTTGCCAAAGAATATGATGCACGAGAAACAAATATACAAATTATTATTATTTGTATTGGTGTTTTTGCCTACACTATTATTCAAGATTTTCTTTGTGCGTTATTTCGTACATTAAAAAATTGACATGTGTTGGAGCTTTCTTGCATTATCAGTTAAAGTATATTATATATACACAACCAGACAGTTAACTTTTGTTTCACCTAAATATTTGCATTTTTATTGTTGATAAGAAAAGCATAATTGAAGTCGTATTGCGTTTTATTACAGATGGTCTATTTTCGAATACGTGCACATTGTTTGGCTCAACAACAAGAATGGAAAAAAGAATATGAGGATATTATTGGTTTGAAAAAAGATATATTTGATCATTTTCAAATATATAATATCAACGAGGAATCATCTCTTATTGTATATTATGATGAAAAAGAAAAATGTGATTGTATACTTGATAATTTAGATATTTTACCCAAAGATAATACTACTATATTTGATGTGTATGTCAAACGAGTAAGTTACTTTAATGGTATTTATAAATGAATTTGATCTATTTCCTATAGATATGGGCTTGTTGTGGTGTTTGTTTTGGTCCATTTGATATTATACCTGATCGTCTTCCACTTGAATGTACTGAAAAACTCTGTAATGTTCAATATTGTGCTAAATGTGTAGATATCGTTTGTGAACTTAATAAGAATCACAGATTTACTTGTATGTTTTGTAATAAGACTGATAATCGACCTCAACGTAATATTTTACTTGAAAATATTTTTCTTTGGAAACCATATACAATGAGATATGGTGCACATAGTACGGAACGTATAGAAACAATATTTAATGGACCTAATTTATCTGATGCTATTCATCGAATTGAAAATCGTCGAATTCATATACAAACATTACAAGCTACATTGAAAATGCGTCTATCAACTGTTACAGATATAGATTCTTATTCAGATAACACTAACCGTTATCTTATGGTGGCTGATCAATTGAGTAACAAATTAGAAACATTTATAATACGATTGAGAATGTGCGAACGAAATATAATATCACAATCAGTAAGTTTTCGAGCTCTTGTAAATAATTATCGCAAATTGCTTCGAGATAGTATTTGTCAAAAGTCTTCAAAACAAGAAGCAGCTTCGTTTATTCTTTTATGTGAAAAACTATCTGCTTCCGATTATGAAGCTATTGAACGTATGATGACTATGAATGAACAATTGATTATTACTGAATCAAATTTTATTTTCATGTATAATGCTAATAAATTGAACGATATAACTTTTAAAGAAAGTATTGCATGTGTAAACGATATACTTGAAGATATCGCTTATAGACGAAGTATTCTTCAAGAAAAACAGCAACACGTAACTGATTTATATTTAAATTCAATCAATCATCCATTTCATAAATATTATGTTCAACAACATCAAAATGCAATAACAATGATTACTTCACTGGATGATTATGAAAAAAAATGTATCCATTTTCAAGATATTTATAATGAAATTGATATTATTATGCATGAATATAAAGATGAATTAACTAAAAAAACATTAGATGATACATCAAATGAATATAATTCATTACCTACTTCAAAGCAAATGACTACATTTCAATGTTCACGATTAATACTTATTTCTGAATTATTACGTTCTGAAACAGATCGAATTGAAATAGAAACTATTTTTCCTCGAATAACTAAACAAGTACAACAATGGAAACAAAATCAAGTTAATGATCCTAAAATTTATGATCTATTCGCTACATTAGAACAAGATCTATTGTCTTTATATGATCCAAATCATTCTTTATTGCATCTTATTCCGTTTCGTGTAGGTTTTATTGGAAATATCAGTGTTGGTAAAAGTTCTTTAGTTAATTATTTACGTATCCAAAATTCAATATCTACATCCATTAATCGAACATTATCTCCGACAGCAGTCGGTCAATCAACTGTTGGATCATTACAATTTGATGAACAACATTTATGTTCTAACACACAAACTATCGTCACTATTCGTTATGTTGATATTGAAGGTTGTGCTGATTTTAACACTAAAGTGCAAGCTGCATCATATTTTGAACAAATTCAAAAAGCTGATTGTGATTTATATATTATTTTATATACTGGTCAACAAGTAAGTTTTGAACGTAAATTAGAAAAAGAAATTAAAGAACGACTTAATCGACCATGTTGGTATATACGATCGAAAGTTGATATAGAATTTGAAGAACATTTTAATGAAAAAATCAGACGACGAAAACTTGATTATTCTGATATTACAATTGATGATAATGAAGAAAATGAATTTGCTGAACAAGTTATTGAAATGATTCGAGAAAAATCTATTGAAATATGTCAAGCATCATCAGACAAAGTTTTTCTTATTAATTCTCTATATTCAAATACAGAAGAAAATAATAAAGAAAAAATTAATGGTAAAACACATCCATTTGATATACATTTGCTTAGTCAACAATTGATCAATGCTGCTCAACAATCTTATGCACAAGAACGTATTAAACGGATGGCTGCTATGACATGTGCTCGTATTATTGGTACTTGTTTTCGTCGACGATGTATTACATCATTTATTAGTCATGAATTTCTAGCAGGTGTTAGTGCAATATTAGTTCCTTGGGGAGATCAAATAGCACTTGCTCATACACGTTTTGGTATTCGTACGGCACTTGGAGTACAAGATCGACCATCATTATATAATCAATTATGGAAAAAAGTGGATGAATTTGAATCATTATTGCTTAAATATTCATTAAACATTGATCCAAATGATCTTCAATCTGATGCATTTAATTATCTAAAAATAACAGATTCATCAGCAATAGTCAGTACACTTAATAATAAAAACGAATACTCAGAAACAATTTATCTTGGACGTGAACCAAAAACAGGCTCATCCATAGCAAAAAAACTATCATCAGCAATACCAACTGGAGTATATGCGTGTGGTTTAGTAGGAAAAAAAATAGCCGCTACTTTAGCTATTGGTTCATTGAGTTATGGTGTT